CACACACGTTGAACTTTTCATCTTGTAAACTGTCACATGGATTTTTTATTCTTCTTGATTAAGGAGAGCATCCAGCACTTTGTAGGTACTATCAAAATACAAACTAAAGAAGGATACATATAGGTATTGCAGTTAGATTGCCCTAACCAGGGTTAAGTCAATCTAAATGACCAATCGTGCAGGCATGCAGAGAGCATAAATCAACCAGAAAAATAGCATGCCTGATCTAAGTTAGTGCACTTGAGTATGTGCACTGACTTAGATAGAGATTGGACTAACACAATCTGAGAAAGGGTTAGCCTGATCTCAGTAAGCCATGTTAACATAAATCAGGTGTAGACTGGACTCACACAAAGTGACATTTCCAGTTGGTAACCAAACAGCAAAAGGAAACTCTAAGTATTTCTGGAGAACCACTGCTATCTATGGTGTATCAAGTACTTTGGAATAAATACAGTGACTTTTCAGACCTGTATTAGAGGGTTTCCTTTAAAACCTGAGTACAGGTTTTAGCAGTGAATGGAGGAGGATGTGGTTCAGCGAAGTACCTCATCATTCTTCCCCCCCCTCCCCACATCAATGTGAGAGTTAACAAAGGTGGATTCAGAGGAAGTGAAGAGGATCAACCAAGCTTTATAGAATACTTAATTCCAAAGTTGCTTTGTCTTCTGGCACACTGAGACTGGGAAACAGAAAATAAAAGCAAACAACACTAAAATGGAAAACATGAACAGAGAGGAGTTATAGTTATACTAGAGGTATAGAGAGAGAGCTATATTTGCTTCAGCTAGACCCAGTCAATTGATTTTCTGGGCACACTGCAAAGTTCAAGGTTCAAAGAAGAATAGGGTAAGGTAGAAGCTGGGCTGGGTTTTTCTTCCTATTTTTTCTCCATGCCTGTGTTTGCTTGGAAATGCTAATCTATTAAATATTAAAAAGACTTTTTGAGAACAACCTTGTGACCCTAGCAAAATGCTGTGCAACTAGAAATTCAGTGTCTCAAGATTGCTAAACAAAATAAACACGCAAAGTGTGACTTGCAGTTGAAATACATGGTCTTTATTAAAGGTAAAACGCAAAGGAAGTTTGGTCAGAGGAAGCAATGGGAAACTAAATTCTTGTTATACAGGAGGCTAACAGAACATAGCACTACAAATTCTGCTTCAGCTAATCACACAGGTTTCTATTCTTAGCACAGTCAACATCTGGAACTGAAGAAGATTTTCATGCTCCCATTGGCATCAACTTGCAAAGAAGCAAAATAAAATAATCCTTGTAAATAATTAAAGCTTCATAATTCTGGATTCTGTTCATTAAGGGAAAGGCAAGGAACATGACAAACTGGGGAATTCTGTTACTGATTCTATCAAATTTAAAAGGCTCTGTCTTATAGCTCCAATTTTGATCAATATTCACTAGTTTCCACTTCAATTAGTCTAAATTTGCTGAGTAAAATGTTAGTTTGATGTCACCTTACTGTTCACAAGCAAATTGTACAGATCATGCCAAATTAATGCTAAAAAGACCCTTAGTATCATCCCATGCTACTCTGCATATGCCACATTATGTAAAGGAAAGCTTTTTTACACATGTTCTAGAGTTTTGAGAATTTCTACTGGTATCACTGTCTGTAAAACTTGGTGCCTTGCTTAGCAGGATTATCAAAACTTTCGGGCACCTACAAATGCAGATAGGCACCAGTGCATACCTAACAGTCCCTGAAATCCCAATCTGCATCATTAGGCATCTTAATAGCTTTGAAAGTGTGGCCTTCTGAGTCCAGCTACACAGAGTTCAGAGGAAGTCATTGTTTCGAAAAATAATCTAAAATACACTTCTGTAACTAGAAAGTCAGTCAAAAAGTCTAATTCTTCAGAGCATTTAAGGGATGGAAGCAATGGTGGGGCATGCTGGGAATCTCCAAGGTTGTAGGTCTGTTCCTAGCTCTCCAGTGTCAATACTTAATGCAGTAGAGGCCTAAGATGTAAAATGTGTGTACATGCATAATATATATTATACACACATATGTATAGGTACGTACTGATTATGTGGCTTGTGAAAGTAAACACCATGTGTTAAATTGCAGAGTCAGGACATGAACTGGGGAAATAGGGGATACACTAATATCATATTGGAAGTTTATTGTGCACCCTTGACTACCTCATGTGCACGTGGCCAACAAATCCATCTCCCTCAGGACTACATCCAACATTCAATCAAACCTCTGAGCTGTTTTAAACAGGCACCACTGCTTTTTGTGGCCATATTATCAAAGTTGCAACTTCATGACATTGTATGATGTTATGTTCTTGCTATTGTTGTTCTGTAAGTGTGGTGATGATGATGCCATTCAATTTAATCCCATTCCCCTAGATCTGGTCTGGATCCTTCTCCTCAGATACATTCCCCTACCCTCATAGCAGAAATGACATCCAAGCTACAATAGATCTCAATAAATGCTCCCCAGTGATGTAATAAATTAAAATACTGCACTTCTTACACTATATTTTATAAGCTACTGAATCAACATGTAGCGGGCACACTACGGTTCTAACAAGGGCAAGTGGAGCCCTACCCCTCAGTCCTCAGTAGAACTTCTCTGCCTGCTACCCCCACCCCAACGTTCCTGCAGGGTTTGCCCAGGGTGCAAATCCTGCTTGTTATATCTCCTCAAGACCAACAAATTGA